TATTCCTCTATATGGAATGGGCTCCCAAAGGCCGCACCTATGCTAGGGATAAGTACTGGACTTCAACAGGAGGTCTGGTAGATTTCTGAGGTTTCCTCACTGAAACCCATGTTCCTGGGGACTGGATCAGCTGCCCAGGCCTTACACTGGGGACCCGGGAGAGACACTGAGTGGGGAAGAGAATTTGCTTATTCTCTTCAGTAGCTGAGGCTCAATTACATTGTGGTTCCACTGGGCTCCTATTAAACAAAATGACCCACACATTTAAAAATGGTAATAATGTAGAAAGAGGGACTATTTATAGCGGGAAGAGGGGACAGCAAGAGGCAGTCACAGGGACAAGAGAAGGAGATATCAGGGGAGGGTATTTAAGATAGCCTCTCCTCCATTGCTTAGATTGTTAGCTCATGTCATCTTTATAGATCTCCAGACATTTCCCTAGTGCCTGATTTCTCTGTAAACCAAAAATGTCTCCCTCTATTATGATATCTCCATTTCTGTTATCATCTATTCTTCCCCTGACTCAAACTTTCTGCTCCCTCATCTCCTCTGCATCCCTCTTCTCCCCTTCTCATTTTCCTAGCTCCCTTCCCCCTCTGCCCATGCTCCCAATTTGCTCAGCAGATCTTGAACCTCTGCCCTTCTCCAGGGGACCATGTATGTTTCTCTTAGGGTCCTCCTCGTTTATTAGCTTCTTTGGCAGTGTGGATTGTAGGCTAGTAATCCTTACTCTATGTCTAAAATGTGCATATGAGTGAGTACATACCATGTTTGTCTTTTTGTGATTGGGTTACCTTGCTCAGAATGGTTTCTTCTAGATCCATCCATTTTCCTGTAAATTTAAAGATTCCATTGTTTTTTTTTTTTCCACTGAATAGTACTCCATTGTGTAAATGTACCACATTTTCTCTATCCATTCTTCAGTTGAGGGGCATCTAGGCTGCTTCCAGTTTCTGGCTATTACAAATAGAGAATTTAAGAATATTTTGTTGAATATTTTTGCATAGATGTTCATGAGGGGTATTGGTCTGTAGTTCTCTTTTTAGTTGTATTTTTGTGTGGCTTGGGTATCAAAGTAATTGTAGCCTTGTAAAAAGAGTTTGGCAATGTCTCTCCTGCTTCTGTTGTGTGGAACAATTTGAGTAGTACCGGTATTGGCTCTTGTTTGAATTTCTGGTAGAATTCTGCAGTGAATTTTTGTGGTTGGAAGGATTTTGATGACTGCTTCTATTTCATTAGGGGTTATAGGTCAATTTAAATTGCTTATCTTTTCTTGGTTTAATTTTTTAAGTGAAATCTCTCCAGAAAATTGTCAATTTCCTTTAGATTTTCCAATTTTTTTGTGGGTACAGGTTTTCAAAGTGTGACCTGCTGATTTTCTGGATTTCCTCAATCTACATTGTTATATCACCCTTTTCATTTCTGATTTTGTTAATTATCATGCTCTTGCTCTGCCTTTTGGTTAGTTTGGATAGAGGTTTGTCTGTCTTGTTGATCTCAAAGAACCAACTCTTGTTTCATTGATTCTTTGTAATGCTTTCCTACTTTCTACTTTATTAATTTCAGCCCTCAGTTTGATTATTTCCTGGCATCTACTCCTCCATGGTGAGTTTTCTACTTTTTGTTCTAAAGGTTTCGGTTGTTCTCTTAATTCTCTAGTGTGGCTATTCTCCAGTTTCTTCATGTGGGCACTTAGTGCTATGAACTTTCCTCTTAGCATTGCTTTCAGAGTTTCCCATAAGTTTGAGTATGTTGTGTCTACATTCTCATTAAATTCTACAAAGTCTTTAATTTCTTCCTCAATCCAGGAATGGTTCATTTGGGTGTTATTCAATTTCCATGAGTTTGTAGGTTTTTCTGCAATTTTTATTGCTGTTGAATTCTGATCTTAAAGCATGGTGATCTGATAAGATACAGGGGGTTATTTCAATTTTTGTACCTGTGGAGGCTTGCTATGTTGCCAACTATGTGGTCAATTTTGGAGAAGGTTCCATGTGGTGATGGAAGGTATATTCTTTTGTGTTTGGATGGAATATTCTATAGATATCTGTTAAACCCAGTTGGGTCATAACATCTGTTAAATCCTCTGACTTTTTTTTAAGTTTCTGTCTGGTGGTCCTGTCTAATGGTGAAAGGGGGGTGTTGAAGTCTCCTACTATAAGTGTGTGCAGTTTTATGTGTGGTTTGAGCTTCAGTAATGTTTCTTTTACAAATGTGGATGCCTTCGTTTTGGGGGCATAGATGTTCAGGATTGAGACTTCATTTTGATGGACTTTTCCATTGATGAGTATGAAATGCCCTTCTTCATCTCTTTTGATTGATTTTAGTTTAAAGTCTAATTTGTTAGATATTAGAATTGCTACACCAGCCTGTTTCTTGGGCCCATTTGATTGGAAAATCTTTTCCCAACCTTTTTCTCTGAGGTAATGCCTGTCTCTGAAGTTGAGGTGTGTTTCTTGTATATAGCAGAAGAATGGATTCTGTCTTCATATCCATTCTGTTAGCCTGTATCTTTTTATAGGCAAAGGAAGCCCATTGACATTGAATGATATTAATGTCCATTGATTGTTGGTTCTTGATTGTTTTGGATTTATTGTTGATGGTGTCATTGTGAGTGGATTTCGCACTCCTGTTTCTTTTCCTGTTTGGTAATGTTGGATTATCTATTACCTATGTTTTTCTGGGTGTAGTTATTTTTGTTGAGTTGGAGTTTTCCCTCTAGGACTTTCTGTAGTACTGGATTTGTGGATATGTATTGTTTAAATCTGGTTTTGTCATGGAATATCTTGTTTTCTCCATCTGTAGTGATTGAAAGCTGTACTGGGTACAGTAGTCTGGTTGGCATCCATGATCCCTTAGTGTTTGCAGGACATCTAACCAGGACTTATGGCTTTCAAAGTTTCCATTGAGAAGTCAGTTGTGATTGTGATAGGTCTGCCTTTATATGTTACTTGACATTTTTCCTTTGCTGCTCTTAATATTTTCTCTTTATTCTGTAGGTTTGGGGTTTTGATTATTATGTGTCGAGGAGACTTCTTTTTGTGGTCCAGTCTATTTGGTGTTCTGTAAGCTTCTTGTACTTTCATAGGCATATCCATCTGTAGGTTGGGGAAGTTTTCTTCTATGATTTTTTGAATATGTTTTGTGTAACTTTGAGCTGCATTTTCACCTTATTCTATACCTATTATTCTTAGATTCAGTGTTTTCACAGTGTCCCATATTTCCTGGATATTTCATGTTAGAGATTTTTTGGAATTGAGATTTTCTTTGGTCGATGACTGTATATAGTCTAGTGAGTCATCAACAGCTGAGATTCTCTCTTCCTTCTCTTGTATTCTATTTGTTTTGCTCACATCCTTAGATCATAATCATTTATCCAGCCTTTGTATTTCCAGCATCCCCTCATTCTGTGTTTTCTTTATTGTTTCTATTTCAGCTTTCATGCCTTGATCTGTTTTCAGTGCTTCCTTCATTTGTTCAGTTGTATTTTCTTTAGGTTCTTTAAGAGAATTACATATTGCTTGAATTTTTTGTTTTTTTTCTTCTATTTCTTTAAGAGATTTTCTTGTTTCCTCTTTAAGGGTCTTAAACATCTTTATAAAGTAGATTTTAGGTCTCTCTCTTCTTCTTCCTCTGTGTTGTGCTTTTCAGATCTTGCTGGTGTGGAGTCCATAGATTCTAGTGGTGTCATATTGGTCTTTCTGTTGAGTGTCTTCTTATTCTGCCTTCTTCTCATCTCTTCTTTCAGTGGGTTCAGGTGGGCTCTCTCTGTCTCCTCTTGTCATCGGTGGTATGTGTGGGCCAAGACTTCAATGTCTGCAGCTATGGATAGTCTTGCCTCTCCTGGTAGTCTCCTCACTCAGGAGAGGTCAGGGCAGCAGAGGGGAAAGGAAGAGTGAGATATTTCCAGACTCACGGAGGTCCTCCCTGTCTGGGTGGGTCCACTCTATGCAGGCACAGGCCCAGAGATATCCTGGGATGATGAGGTCTTTGGAAAGGAGTAGGGCTCAGGAGAGGTCAGGGTGGTGGAGGGGCAAGGAAGAGTGAGGTATTTCCAGACTCAGGGAGGTCCTTTCTGTCTGGGCAGGTCCAATCTATGCAGACAGGTCCACTCTATGCAGGCACAGGCCCCAAGAGATTCTGGGAGTAGGGCTCAGGAGAGGTCAGGGCCTGGATGTGTTCTTATACTGCTGTCTTCCCTTCTCTTCTTCCAATGGGTATCAGTGAGGTCTGCCCCTCTCCTGGTGGGTATGGATTCAAGGCTGTATCCTCTCCCTACCCCCCTATCATATGCTGGGAGGGCCAAGACCAGAATGGCAGCTGATGAAGCTGGCTGTTTTGTACTGCACCCATATCTGGCAGAAGGAAAGTGAATCAATGGACGTGATAATTGGGAAGTTTTGTGTATTTTTCCCCACTATGCTTCAATATATGGCTGCTTCCCATGTTCCTCCCTATGAGAAAATGACTCATTGCTGCTGATGAACACTGTCTTTCCTATTCACTCAGTAACAAGAGCATATCTTTACCTTGAAAACAAATGTTACAAATTACTTAATAAATCAGAGAAAACATTATAAATGTTAGTCATTTATTTAGGCTGTAGAAATATTTTTCCTACAAAGTTCATGCTTGGAAATAGCTTTGTCAATTACTGGTGTTTAATTTGTTTAGTTAAAATATAATTACATTGCTTTTCCTCTTCCCTTTACTCACTCCAATTCTTCCCATATCAATCCTTGCTCCATCTCAAATTCATAGTTTCTATTGCTGTTAAACAGATGGATGGAGGCACAGAGAGACAGAGAGACATAGAGAAACAGAGATGCATAAAAGTATACATTCAACATCCTGAGTATGTCTAATGTTACTTGTATGTATTTGGTTTTAAAGCTGACTAATGGCTACTAGTAAACCAAAGGAGTAGCTCATCCCTAGAGCAGATAACTTCCCCACTTTCAGCATTCCTTAGTTATGTCTATTTCTTTTTCTCTGATTGGGGACCTTAAGATATTCCTCTCTGACAATTACATATATGGTATACTGTCATTGTTCAGGTCTTGACTAGGCAGCCATATTGCCAAGTGTCTTCATTTCTAGAAGACACTATCTGCATATTTTCAGATCTGTTGCTCTTGCAAACTTAACCTCTTCTTAGATGAACCTTGATTCTTAGTAGGAATAATTGTATTGTAGAATATTTTTTGTCTATATTTTGAACAGCTGTTGTCTGTAATGATCTTTGCTGCTAAAAGAAGTTTCTTGTATAACACATGAGAGCTATATTTACTTATGTGTGTAACAAGAAGCATTTAGCATGCAGCTGAGAATTGTGCTCATTTAATAAAGTAGAAACAAGATGTTCTCCTCTTAGATCCATGGCCTTACTAGCTGAAAGTATTGGCTAGATTTGAAGTAATAGGTACCATTTCCTTCTTGTTAAGTGGACCTTAAATTCTATTATGCAGCTTATGGTTACAACTAAGATATGAGTTCCACAATTGTACCCTTAGGTATAGCTTTCTGTGCTGCTAGGTATTATAAATAACATCCCCCCAATGATAAATTTGAGAATATGCAGAAGCACAAACCTTTTGAACATGCTGCTCTTTTCAGGACACACTTTCCTGTTCATCATGGCCCACATCTCCAGGCCTCCGGTGGGAAAAGCGATGGTGTGACCTCAGGCTCATTCCACTACTGCATGCCCGCTTCTCCCAGTACATTCCCGGGACTGACCTGAGTCGGTGAGTCTGTTTGCAGAGTCTAATCTTTGATTGAAAATGGTCAATGCTCAAAGTACAAAAGAGAATTGCAAAGCAATACTCTCCCACTGAAGAACATGATAAATATGGAGCCAAAGGCAGTGGAAGCCCTGATTCTGTCATAAATGATTGCAGTGGATCTGATGTGGATAATATTATAATTTTACTGGTCCTTATATTTGGAGCTAATTTTAATGAGTTTTTATTTTCAAAGTAGTTGTGTAACTTATTCATTTTTCTTTTTGAGCGATGCTAGGAATCTTACCAAGGGCCTTGAGTAAAACCCCAGACATTTGTGGCTAATCATCTACCATTCTCACCTTCTTAGTTTTGTAAATGAGTGTATAAGTTTACTTTTCATCTTTTTATCACATTCAGTATTGTTAGGGATGTTTTTCAATAGCATATTTGGGACTTTGTGGATCTTTTCTTTCCATATAATTTATATCAAAAGTTTCTGCCATTTTTCTTGATTTTATTGTTTTTGTTGTTCATTGTGTCCCTTGGTTTGATATTTTGCTTAAGCATTTCTTCTTTGAGATAGATTCAACAGGTGCCAAGAAACCTCTCTGGAAACAAGGACTTTCTGTTTGTTTCTACTGAAGTCTCCTGAACAATGCACGCACACACACACACACACACACACACACACACACACACACACACACACACAACACACCTCAAACACTCACAAAAGTCTTTTGGTTGGTTTATGCCTCCTTGTATCCTTGAGCTCAGAGATTTTAACTATGTAGTTTGTGGAACTCCACTATGGGAGACATCTTCAAGACTGTCCCAGGGATGGGTAAGATAAGGAAACCCCAGGGAACTCCCATATTGTCACTACTCAACTCCAAGATCCCTCCTTAACCAATGATTAGGCTTTCCTGGCCACCTCTCAGTGACTGCTTGCGGTCAAGTCCTTTAGTTGAATAACAGGACCTCAGAATTATGTTGCCAGGTTTTCCTTGTCAGTATTTAAAATTCACTTGTGTTAATAATCATGCCTTTTCATGTAGTAAATAATATTTTCAAACTATGGGTTAGATAAGAATGTATTACAATATTTCAAAAGACTGAGACAGTTTTGGTGTTGGCTTTCTTGAATGATTTCATGTTGGATAATTTTAATCCTGTGATGTTTAGTGAACACAAGTTTTTCTCAGATTGTACATTATTTGAAGAAATAGTTCACCTGTTCTCATATAAGCACAGACACCATCATTTCATTACAGAGATCCACATATTTCAGATTGAGCACATTCATTTATGAGGAATTTTGATCCCCTGCATTATAAATGATAATTTTTTCTATGAATTATAAGATATGCACTGGATGAGTTAGAGTCCATTTAATGATAAATATAAGTATTCCTGCTTTTAGTTTGTCTGAATTTGCTCTGTATATTTAATGTTAACTTATAGGTTAAAAAAGATTTAAAATTTCTGTAGCAACATTTATTTTTGTGAAAATTTCTATGTTTGTTTCATTTGTTCAAATAACATAGTTCTCTATACCACAGTTATGTTTATAGCAAGATTGGTATTGAGTACTTAGTGCCTGTATATTTCCCCCATCTTTCAAGAATTCCTACTTTTCTAGAAATGACTCTTCACACTAGAATGTTTGATTTTTCCCAGTTTTTTATTTTTATTGAAAATAAACAAACTTAATCATATAAATAGATCATTTTGTATTGTATCTGCTGTTTCTACATGAAATACTATTTTGTCATTACATAATTTGTTTTGAATGGACTGTGGAGTAACATTCATTTGGAGGAAAGCATCCATATGATTGTTGTACTTTTCATCAGTTTTATAGTATAATAGCTTTCAAAATTTTAGTGTGGTTTCATAGCCAGAAAAGTGGCGTTTGTAGCATCTGCATTCCATTTTTATTTTGTTAGAGTACCTTAGCTCTATGGGATTGTTCTGGAATATTCGATAAAGATGTGTTGCATTCCTTTATGTTGTGGAATGTTTGTTTAATGATGATGCAAAGATGTGTTGCATTCTTTTATGTTGCATTTGCTTAACTCTGTGAAGTTGTGCTGCTTTGCCTGTCTAAACACCTGACTGGTCTAATACAGAACTGAATAGTCAATATTTAGGCAGGAGTAAGGATAGGCAGGGCTACCATGCATGGGAAATAAATAGAAGAATAACAAGAAGTGAGACACGAATAATAAAAAAAAAAAAAGGAGAGGAGGATGGCATGGACAAGAGACCTAGCCTCACATCTAGGCATCCAGTAGGAAGTAAAAAAATGATAGAAATATAGAGGCAGAAGGTAGATGGGATGATTTATGTAACAAAAGCTGGTTGGAAACAAGTCAAGCTAAGGCAGGCCATTCATAAACAAGAGTAAGCCTCTGTGTAATTTTTTTGGATCTGGGTGTTGGGCCCCAAAAGAGAAAAATAAAAAAAATATGGAATGTTATAGCCTGTTCGTGTTCCTTCATGTACAATCACAGTTGAGATACATCTTCTTCATCTATGAGTCCATTGCAGGCCTTCATGATACAGTTGCATTCCTGTGCCCTACTACCTTAACTGTTTCTAAGCCCCAGCAATTGCAAATATGTTCTTTCTCATTTCCTCATTTTGATGACATTATGCTATTGGACTCATTCACCACGGAGTGTTATTTGACTTAATGTTACTTAGTAGAATTCCCTAAATATTCATCAAGATACTTCCTTTTGCAACTTTTCATAACCCCTTTATTCTTTTTCTTCTCAAAGTAGTTTGAATCATTTTAAAAATAATCCATTTTAAGACATTAGGCTTTTAATAACTGCTAAATAACATAAATGATATGAATAATGGTGTAGAGATTTAATAGATATTAATTTCTTTAAAAAGCATTGGCTGGGCCAGGCGTTGGTGGTGCACACCTTTAATCCCAGCACTCAGGAGGCAGAGGCAGGCAGATCTCTGTGCATTCGAGGCCAGCCTGGTTTCCAGAGTGAGTGCCAGGCTAGGCTCCAAAACTACACAGAGAAACCCTGTCTCAAAAAACAAAAACAAAACAAAACAACAAAACATCAGCTGGGAGTTTTGTAACAGCCTGATTATTCTTTCTAGTATCACTGTGTCAATGTCCCATTCTTCTCTGTTTGAGAGTTCACTAGATCTTAATATTGCTAGCAAATAGCTTTGTCTTTACCTTATCTTTCCAGAGGATATGAGGTGGAGTGTGTGGTTTTTGGTCATTCAATGGGTTATGGATATTTGTCATTGTTTAGGGTGGTTGGTTATAAGTTGTTATTTTTAATTGTCAGGAAAAAGTTTGACAGAGGAGATTAGATTCAGAGCTCTAGTTTTGAAATGAAAAACGTGATATAGATATGACAGGATATAAAAGTAGAGGATTGAATCTACTCTGAACAAAGAGGGATATAGAAATAGCATAAAAAGTTAGATTACTGAACCTATTTTTATACCCAAATCTCAACTACTAGTTTTCAATATTTTACATTGATATGGAGTTTTATATAATGATAAAATTTTACAATTATTTTTGTTAGAACATACTGTACATAAATTTCTAATCTTGTTCAGAGTATTATATCTGTGAACTAATTTAACAAGTTAATGCAAATGTTTACCCCTACCAACTATTTAGGAAAATAAGGAAATGTAGGGGTTAGTAATTAGGCACCTACTATAATTGAACTTCTACTCATGTTAGGTATGATTTAAGGTAAAAAAAGAAATATTTTTGATAGACATTCAAATTGAAACATTTGAGAAATATTCCCCTTAAGATGTTCTTCCATTTTTTATGACAATGAGCCATATTTGTTCCTGGCAGGGCCAATCTACATTGGAGAAGAATATGGGAATCAAAGAAACTCCATATAGGTTTTCTTTTCTTTTTTTTTTTTTTTGAGGGTCAAAACTTAGTTCTTTATTTTAGTATTCTTTCTGTGGCTTGTGCTACTCTATTCTTTCTCTTTTCTTTTTTTTCTCTTCATTTTTTATTTAAGTTAGAAACAAGATTATTTTACATGTCAATCCCAGTTCCCTCTGCCTCCCTTCCTCCTCTCCTCCCACCCCAACACACACCCTACCTATCCCATATCCTTTATGCTACCCAGAGTGGGTAAGGCCTTCCATAGGGGGGTCTTCAGAGTCTGTCATATCCTTTGGGATAGGGCCTAAGCCCCCCCCCATTGTGTCTAGGCTCAAGGAGTATCCCTCTATGCGGAATGGGCTCCCAAAGTCCCAAAGTCCCAAAGGGGGAACCAAAAGTTTCCCCTTGTTCAGGTCAGCTATTTCTGTGGGTTTCACCAGCCTGGTCTTGACCCCTTTGCTCATCATTCTTCCTTCTCTGCAACTGGATTCCAGTTCAGTTCAGTGATTAGTTATGGGTGTCTGCTTCTACTTTCACCAGCTGCTGGATGAAGGCTATAGGATGGCATGTAATTCAGTCATCAATCTCATTAGGGGGGGGGCATTTAAGGTAGCCTCTCCTCTGTTGCTTAGATTGTTAGTTGGTGTCATCTTTGTAGATCTCTAGACATTTCCATAGTGCCGGATTTCTCTCTAAACCTATAATGGCTCCCTCTCCTATGGTATCTCTTATTTTGCTCTCCTCTATTTTATCTCCCTACACAACCTTCCTGCTACCTTATGTCCTCCTAATCCCTCCTCTTCTCCCCTTCTCATTCTCCTAGTTCCATCCCCCTCCTCCCATGTTCCCAATTTGCTCAGAAGATCTTGTCCCTTTCCCTTTCTCTGGGGGACCATGTATGTCTCTCTTAGAGTCCTCCTTGTTTCCTAGCTTCTCTGGAGGTGTGGATTGTGGGCTGATAATCCTTTGCTCTATGTCTAAAATCCATATATGAGTGAGTGCATACTATGTTTGTCTTTTTGTGACTGGGTTACCTCACTCAGAATGGTTTCTTCTAGTCCCATCCATTTGCCTGCCAATTTCAAGATTCCATCCCCCCCCCCCACTGAGTAGTACTCCA